AGAGAGAGAGAGAGAGAGAGAGAGAGAGAGAGAGAGAGAGAGAGAGAGAGAGAGAGAGAGAGAGAGAGAGAGAGAGAGAGAGAAAGAGGAGATGGACACACACAAGAAGCAGCAGCTGAGAGAAGGTCCCAGTCCGACTCATGAATGAACGAACTAAAGAATGAATGAACCAACTGACCTCGGACCTGGGCCTAGGCCGAAGTGATATACCGGCCTAGGTCCGGGTACGGGAAACAACCTAGTACCGGACCAGGGTCAGGCTGACGGCCTGAGACTGGTCCGGTCTCAATGTCGGGCCGTAGGGGTACCACTACACGATCCTCGGACCCGTGAATGGATCAAGCGATACATCAAACACGCTATCCGCTGAAATAACGGAAACCCAAAAGGAACGGCAAAGGAAACAATCCTAGATGCGGAGCAAGCTCCATGCAGGAAAAGAGATGCAATGCAGACTAAGCCTCGAGCCTGACTAAGCCTCAAGCCTAATCTATGCAACAATGTCCGGTCTGAGTCGATCCAAAAAGCAGAAAAATGTTTGTCCTGTGTCGGCCAAGAAAGAGAAAAATGTCTGACCTGTGTTGGCCAAGAAAGAGAAAAACGTATGACCTGTGTCGGCCAAGAAAGAGAAAAATGTCTGACCTGTGTCGGCCAAGACCGAACGGTGACGATGAAGGGAGCAGACGGTAGAGGACAGCATACAACACACACACTCTAACGGGTCGTACACCCTTGCACTGCGAGCCGGGCCGTGGCCTGCGCGGTGGCTTCTGGAGTGGTCCACTGAAGACCTGCTCTTCTCCTGCCGCCCGTCCATGCCAACGTCCTTCACCCGACTAGAGCGCCCGGTCGTTATAGCAGCATCTGGTCTGAAAGTTGCCCCAAATATGGATATAATGACCGGGAGCTCTATTTGGGACGGTAGTTCAAAGCACCAGTACACCACACATAGGCCCGGGGGTGTCAGCACGAAACCCGCAGCACTTCGAAGGCCGTTTTTTTTTTTCAACGGCGCCCCACGCCGCGCAGACCCTCCGAGTTTTGCTTGTGGCGACAAAAACCTTCTGCAAGGCTGGTTCCGTGTACTTGCGGTTCAACACCCATCTATGCCCAGGCATTGTTCACAATACTTCAGGTCCCAACAGGCTGCTCACACACTCATGGCATACGCACACTAGGATGCGAGATCCAGAGGACCGGTAGACGAGTACTGGCCCTGATGTCCCGCTCAAAACCCGCCGGTGCCCAGACATAATTCACCATAATTCGGGTCCCAACAGGCTGCTCATACACACACTTCCAGTATACACACACTAGGACTTGTTCGATTGTGTTATGGACGTGATTGCAGTCAGACACATGTAGGGAGGCTAGTGTGAGTATGCCCTCAGAGCTCCTAGCCCGATCATGGGGCACGCTCGCAATNGTATGCCCTCAGAGCTCCTAGCCCGATCATGGGGCACGCTCGCAATAGGAACCTCTTACAGGAGCCTGTGGTGAATAACGACTGCATATCAGGGCATACTCGCACTGCTCTTTTCCTGTTGCTCGGTCAAACAAGTATTTGCCTTCTTACAACAAAAAGACCGAAATCCCATTGAACAGGTTATCAAAAGATTCGAAAATCCTTTCACATCGGCCATTGAATGGGGTGGCTATCCTTCATGGTTGACCACCTTGAAGATAGAAATCCCCCCTTCTTTGGAGACTTTGTGATGAGTCTAAGGCCGTCTAGTACCAGCAAATCTCCAGTTGTTCAAAGGGATTTCCTACTTCAAGAATACCGGTGCACGCACACACACACACACACACACACACACACACACACACATGTACACACAGACA